CTAGGGCGTACCGAAGAGGAACACTTAAATGACTCGCAACACTCGAATCCTGACTGACCTAGGCCCAGACTGAAAGCAGTTCCAAAGTTAAGAAAGCCAAGCACACAGACCCAGACACCCACACACTTACACAGCACACACTTACTGACGCTTCCTCTTCCAATTCCGATTCCGTATCCGCTTTCGCCTTCACACAGCGCCAACATTGTGCACGACGATTGGTTCAGTTTGTTGTTAAGTTTCCCTGCGTCAGTGGACAGCATCGATTATGGGCGGGGAGGGGAGGATGTAGAAGCTGTCGCCGTCGCCGCCTGTTATTGAAGCCAAGAGTTTATAAAGCTCTTTCGAAATGTTTTGACAAATGATTTTGTTTGTATTTTTCATTTCATCGAATTTGCCAATGGCCAACAATTGCGGCCTGGCTTCAACCTCGGCCAAGACGGCCACACGGAGCAGAACGGCGCGGGACAGGGCGCTGTGGGGAAAATAAATAGATAGCTAACCGCCAGCATTAGACATTTGGTTACTTTTGACTGGCCCCAAAATGTTGTGCACAGATCATCAACATTGATTTCCAACTTGAGGCTCTGGGTATCATCAACAATTTCCTCATCTTGATGGTACCAAAAATGTTGTCCTCGAATGTTTTCAGCCTAGGCAAACTGTTCCAATATCTAGAACTCAAATAGATTGTGTGTCATTATGACTTGTCAAGTTTTTGCCACACATTTGGCAGGTTTCAAAATGACTTTAGGCGGTCCTTAAAGCAGCCATTGAATCACTTTACAACTTTTTGTTAGCATTTGCTATTAATATCTATATATACATATATATATAAATATATATGTTGAAAAATTTCCATACTAAATTTAATCAGTGGATAAACAAACTCAAGTGGCATACACCCAGGTATTGCCAGCATATTTCCGGAATTACTATAATAACATTGGCATAATTAGTAAAATGTATAACGACCGAATTCATAAATTGTACTCTAACCCAATTATTGTAAATCCACACACATGCACGCACACACACAAAAATATGTTCAAATTATCCATGGAACCCACGAAACGAAGCTGCCAGCCGCATGAGAATAACGCCAGCATTATCAATTTAAAATAATAATAACAAATACAAACAGACCCATTTTATGAGATACGAATTAGTTTACATGCGGGTGAGCTTTGCGGAGGCGTGGCTCTACCCTGTAAACTCAAACTCTGCATGTGGATTCCGTTTATTGCCTAATATGAATATACCCAGCTCTGTTTCCGCAAGTCCCAACCATACGAATTTTACATTTTAGTTGCGAACTTGTTTGAAAGACTCAAGACCAAAGGAAAAAGAGGCCAAGGCAGAAGAAGCCGACCTTAAAGCCCTAGCCTCAAGGAAGTGCCCCCGATATTCTGAACTATACGAATTACAAATCAATTATTCAAACTAGTTTTAAATCTAGATAATCCATTTATACTATTATTTAGTCAAGGCCAGAGAAGGGAGAATTGATCATTTACACAATTGCTGCACAAGTGGTGCAGGCTGAAGAAGCCAAATTTAAAAGTCCAGCGTCAAGGATCTCAGAGACTATAAAAGCCAGGGTAAGTATGGTATGTGGATACCCATATACTCAATATAGATAAAATTTACTTTATCCGCAACTTACGAAAAAACAATTACAACTTTAAGATTCAAACATGTTTTAAATTTAGCCAAGGTATTTATATTGTCTGCATTTACAGGATATCTGCTAGTCATGCACTCTTCACACATTTACCCGCTGTGGTCTGCGTGCAATATGTTTCCAAATGTTGGCCATGGCCATTGGTGATTACGAGTATGATTTTTGCATGGCGCATTGCGATGCGCTCAGTTTGCATTTGGTTTGCCAGCAAACGCAATTCGAATGGATTTTTGCCGTTAAGCATTTCATTTAAATTATGTTAATATGGCAACTGACCAGTTGACCGACCGAACAAGAGGCAGACCGACTGTCAATGCAAATTAAATTTGCAATCAGCTTTCGTGCGCTGTGCGTGCGTTCGTTTGCTTTATCATTGTGCCAATATGAATATACACCGAGTACTTATATGATATCAAACTCCATAATGATTGACCAACTTATCAAACTGACAATAAATTTTATCAGTTTGTGCGTGCGTGTGTATTTGTATGTGTATGTTTGTGTTTGTGTGTGACAATATTTCGGTTGCTTCTGGGATTAAGTTATTTAATTATTTGGTGAAGCTGCAACTTGATGGGAAAATAATACAACAAAGGGAAGAATTCTTGATTCTAATAAATGCGTACAACTTTCTGTTAATTGTAAATCGATTAACCAAATAAATATAAACAATAAACATAATCTAGCCTGCAATGCGAGAACTCATTTACATGGGACTTAAAATATAATATATTTTATATCATGTTTATGTTTTATTAATAAACATAAGTAGCCTGAAATTCTTCACACTCATACCCTAAGACCTGAAAATCTGAAATAATTAATATCACATTAAAGTTTTATTTTATTTGCAAACATAACCCAATCATTCGTATTTATACATTTCTCTGAATATCTAAGCGAATAACAAAGGGTTTTAAGGGGCATCCACATCTATTTGCTTGCTCATATTTTCGCGGGCTTAGGAATGTAACAAATATCATGGCTCATTAATATACACATATACTTTTAATATTCAAAAGACAATTTTGCATGCCAAAATTCAAAATTTGATGAGAAAACGCGCAACAAACCATTATTCCCGTTAGACCGAAGATCATATACCCTTAAAAAGCTATAAGCAAAGTTAAGGCAGACTAATGAAAAGTAGTCTATTTATTTTCTGATTTTTTTTTTATTACTAAATATTTTCCCTACTAAATACCCTTCACAGAAAAATTGCATATTGAAAAAAGAGTCAAAAAGATGTTTTGTCAATATTTGACAAAGTTTGTGACAAACTCATAATGCTCGCTATTAGGGAATTAAAGTGTACCAGTTTGTGCCTACGAGGTGATAATTATCATGAGATGCAGCTGGCACCTTCAAGTAAAAATGCATAATGAATTGAACAAGGCAGCTTATTAATGTAAATGGAATTAAGTACTTAATTAATTAAATATATAACAGAATTCTTTTAATGTAATGATATAAATGAAGATAATACATAATATGGTATAAATAATTAATGTGATTCATGCAAATGGCGTTAAGTATTTAATTATATTATTAAATAGGTTAAAATATTTGTTATCTAATTCTTTAGTATACATATTTATTCCAAACAAGGCTGCCAATTTATGTGAATGGAATTAAGTACCTAATTAATTAAACATATATTAAAATACATTATATCTTATGCTATAAATTTAATAAATAACAATATGTAGTTTGTATAAATAACATATTTGTATAAAAATGTTCAAAATTAAAACAATAAAAAAAACAATAAAATAGCAACATATAAAATATGTATACTTTTCTGATATCTTAAATTGTTCGAAATAAATGTAGCAACAATAAATAATGCAAAAATGTAATACATACTCACACGAACACGCATATTTATGTGAAGTGATACAAATTGAATGTGCAACAAAATAAAATGCAATGCAAAATTAAATTCGTTGACCCCATATGAGTAAACCAGAAGCATATTTAAATAAAATATGCAAATAAATACACATACTTATGCACCCACATATTCACTCACACACATCCACCTATGTTAATAAGCTTATATGCAGGTGTATATTTTTTTCCAAATAATTTATGTATACGCGATTTGCCCAGATTATATTTAAATGTAGTTTTACCTTTTGCATATTGTGTGTATGATACACAAAGTAAATAAATGCACATAGATAGAGGTATGTGCTTTATATATGTAGAAGCAGAGATGCATAGGAATCAAATGAATCGTTTAACGCATATGCATAAAAAATAAAAGAAGAAAAAAAACAACACGTTGAAAAATTCTGGAACAAATGCAGCCGGCGGCTGACTTTTCACAGTTTGGCTAGAATGTAAACACATAAAAGTCCTAAAAACGAAAAATCATGTTCTAAATATACACAAATATCGCTCATGAGCACGGCCCGTTGAGCATACAGAAATCGGGAGAACTAAAGAGCAAAAGTTCGGGAGAGAAAGTGCATTGCATGGGTTGTCTAAAATGACTCGTCATTCGCTCGATTTAAATTGATTTTCATATTGTACTATGCATGTGAAAATTCAAGAAAATGGGAAATCAATATGCTATACCTACAGTTGTATACTCTAATGGGCATGTATAGGAGAAATAATATAATGAAAAAGTATTCAAGTACTCAAGTATAAAATATACTCGCATGCAAAAGAAAGATACCGGAAATATACTGAATATACTAGAAAATACTATTTAACCATTTAGTAAAATACTTAAAAAGGCCAAAAGGAAAAAACTAATTACCATTTCTAATATCACCAGTGAAAACTTTATATATTTAATTAATCAAGCACTAGACATTTACTGAAAATACTGAAAATAAATATTATCAGAAAATACTAAGTACACCAATAAGATAAAACGATTACCATTTCCAATATTACCACGAATGTAAACTATATAACTCCTAATCATAAATTACTAGGCACCTACTAAAAATACCATATGTAATACCAAATATTCTTACACAATAATACCTTTTGTGCGACTAAAGAAATAACCCGCGAGAACAAAAATATGACAGTCTTACCACTGAAGACTTAAAGTGGTTTACCAAAATTTCAACTCTATAATTATATAATTAAATGAGAAAAATAAATGTATGTGTACATATATAGAGCGACAAATCTGTTGTTAAACTGATTCTGCCCCTCCTTGATGCAAGTGTTCTCGTAAGTAAAAATAAAATTTTGTGTAGGTTTTGCCGTCATGTCCAATAGAGACTTGAACAGCAACAGCTGCGGCCACTTTGGAAAATTCGAAACAAGTCGCACATATTTTCCCCGACAGCGATCAGTGCGAGAGAGTGCGTCGTCGAGCGAGGAACCAAGCCCAAAAACATATTTGAAGACGGAGAAGCGAACACGCCGCCCGAAAGAAACGCCAGCGGGAACTGTGTAGCCAAGTGAAAGTGTGAGAGTTATTTATAGAGCGTGCACATATAGACGCCTATATATATACATAGATATATAGAGAAAAGTCCACATAAAGTCTGGTTGTTTTCGGGCAGACAATTGCAGCAGAGCTACAAAATGACGGACGTGCCAGAGCCCGTGCGCAAGTGCGCCAATCTCTTGAAGGGCACACGCAGCGATACCGAAAAGTTTGCGGCCCTCTTCATGGTCACCAAGCTGATGAAGGGCAAAGACTGCAATACAGCGGGCAAGCAGCTGCTCTTTGAGGCGATTGGGTTTCCTTTTCTGCGAAAGCTGCTTGTTTCCAAGGATTTGCCCAGCGATTGCCCGCCGCTGGTCTACAAGAGCGTCGCCCTGTCCATACTGACAGGCTTCTGTCAGGAGGAGGAGCTGGCCACGCACAAGGAAATTATTGATGCGATACCCACTCTGCTAGAGATTGTCGAGCAGGCGGATGATGCCGATTACGAGGATAATCTGATTGTGGTGAGCGAGGCCTACAGCTGCCTCAAGAGCATTGCCAGCTATGAGCCTGGCCAGCAGGCGCTTCTGGCCACCGGCGCCATACCCAAAATGTCGCAAATTTACTCGGCGCAGAGCTTCCAGACGGACGAGGCTCTGCATCTGATTGTGCAGCTGGTGAAGAAGTTTGGCGTGGTCTCCTGGCCGGAGGATCCGACGGCATTCCATGCACTCATCCAGCGCATTGCCCTGGACATGGAAACGGATCACACGGAACGCAAGTACGAGCTGTGCCGCATACTCGCCGATATTTTGATCACCTGCCGGCGTGAGATTGTGCTTAACTCGCTAGAGGGCCAGATCTGGCCGGAAAGCCTGTTCAAGGGCTGCAGCGATATACTGAAAGCCAAAATTGGACCCAAACAGCGTGATCCGGCGCTGCATTTGATAGCCACCACGCTGCAGGTTCTGGGCATGCAGTGGGCCTTTATGGACGATCAGAAACAGTTCTTCCTCATGCTTCTTCAGCTGGCGGCCATTGAGGTGCGCATGCAGATGGATGAAAAGAAGCTAGAGACGACCTTTAAGCAGGCGGAACTACTCACCTGCTGCTTTGTCATACTAGAACAATGCATTGAGTATATGGCCAGCGATCAGCTAGACATGGAGCCCAAGGAAAAGCAGACCACCTATACGGCACTGAAGGGCGCCTTCAACCAAGTGCTGGCCGTGCTCACGCGCGTCAGCCAGGACAAGATCAAGGACAGTGGCAACGTGCGCGACAAGGAGTTCATTATTGCCACGGTGCGCATATTGTCCGCCTGGCTGGCCCAGGAGACCACCGCGATGCGACCGGCCATCTACAAGCTGCTGCCCTTCATGCTAAAGATTGGCAATGAGAGCTTTCACGAGCTGAAAGCCTGGCGCGCCGGTCCACGTGAGGGCAGCCCACCCGTCGATATACTGCGCGTCATGATGCCAGCATTGTGCCACTTTGCCGTGGAGGATGAGGCACGTCGCGTGCTCTTCACGCACAAGCAGGACGAGGTGTTGTTGGAGGCCATTGAGCTGTACTTTAGCATTGCGCACTGGAAGCGCCCGCCAATTCCGCGTGCGGAGCGTCTCAAGCGCATGAACGAACCGGACCCGGTGCCCACGCCAGAGCAGCAAGCCCAGATGAAGGAGGCGCGCAGCGCCATTGTCGCCTTGTGCAACATACTCATGAATTTTACGGTTCTGGAGCCAAAACGGGCCGAGGACGCGCCAACTTTTGTCAATCTGCTGAAGTTCGTCGTTGAGAATCTGCCCGAGTTGAAGGATACACCCGATAATCTGGTCATCCATGGCAATCTGGCTGTGCTCGGCCTGCTGCTGCTTAAACAGCAGTCCAAGAAGGTCAAACAGAACGATTTCTCCATTTGCCGTTACATACAGGCCACCATACGCTTCCTCTGGGATGCGTATAACATCGATGAGAGCAACGATCCCACAGCTCTGGTGGTCTCTATTGCCTACAAGGGCTACTGGTCGGACATCTCGGAGCTCTGGTTCCTAGGCATGCAGACCATGTGCGGTGTGCTGCCCCTGGTGCCCTGGCTATCCGAGTTTGCCCTCGAGTCCGGCTGGGCTGAGGGCATTGTGAAGACGCTAAAGAAGGTGAAGATCGGCACGCTGCCTGCCAACGTGAAGTCCGCCTACGAGGACTTCCTCTCCCAGTTGGTGGATGTCAATGCCGATGTTGTGGCCGTCCTGAAGAAGGCCGATGCGCTGCGCGTTTGCCGCAACCACAGGATGATGGATCTGGGCAAGAAGCTGTTCGGCGATTAAATGCACACTTCTCTAGACTTACTTTAGGAAACGTTTCCTCAACTATTTTTGTATGAGCTTTGTTTTTTATATATATCTTGTATTCGGTGTATTCACTCATTTATCTATCTCTCTTTTTTGTGGGCATTTGTGTGTGTGTGTTTAGGCGTGATGTCACGCTTTCTTTTTGATAGAGGAAAATTCAGAGGAAAACTTATTTGCCGAACACAAAACAAAAATATTTTGTATGCACTTTTATGCTTTATTCGAAACCATTTTAATATTAAAAACTCATTTACGATGAAAATAAATATGAATCGAAAACTAAAAAGTAAATAAGAATTATATACAATAAATTTCACTTTCAAAACATGCTGCCAGTTGTTTGTCATTCATTCAGATTTGGTTGCGAACAATGTCTAGATATAAGCATATAGATATATTGAATACATATGTATAAATACATATTCGTATATATGCATCGTATAAATATTTATTTATATAGCAGGTTAGATTAGTTTCTATATGTGAACAAAGCGCAACACGTCACGATTCTGGTTTGTCTACAGAAGCGAAACGAAATTACAAAAATAAGAAGCACATCGAGCTGGGCGACTGAAATATCCCCTGTAATAGAGTATTTCTGAGTACTGATGATTAGGGAATTAAATATATCTGTTTGATTCCATATGAAAACACAGAAAGCCTTAAATATTTTAAATGTAAGCCTAATTAATGATACATATCCACAATTATTTATCGCTTTATGTATGATCGATAAAATCACTAACCAAACAACATATAGACTGGACATGAATACAGGAAAGTAGGCACAAAAAGTATTGGTGGCATCTGGTCCAAAATCGCGAGTAAGGGAGTAAGATATACATATGATGTATTTTTGAACCGCTTACTCTACAGGAAAGTGCTTGGCGCACTCTCTTTCATATGATTTGTGCGATAGAACGGCAACGCTGTTAACTTTTATCTCGCTCGCACTTACTCTCAGCTCTCAATGCTCTCTCTTTATGTTTAGGGATCGTTTAAATGTGTGTGTGTGTGTATGTGTCCGACAAGCAAAACTGCGCAAAAATTCAATTTTTCCCAAATGCTGAGGCATTTCTTCCCTTTTGAAGGCACGAGTAATATGAAATAGAGAAAGGGTTTGGCACGTCGATGCGAAATTCTTGCATTTTAGCTCGCTATCGTTGGTTAGGGTACCTAAGCGTTGCCATCTCACAAATCATATGGAAGAGAGTGCGCCAGCACTTTCCTGTAGAGTAAGCGGTTTAAAAATACATCATATGTATATCTTACTCCCTTACTCGTGAGTTTGGACCAGACGCCTCCGATACTTTGTGTGCCAACGTTGTTTCTATGTGATGTCCAGTCTATATATTGTTTGGTTAGTGATAAAATGCATTCATAAAAACTATCGATTTAATATAATTGGTTAAATGTATCGGCGAATCAAGTAATCAATGCATAAATTATCGATTAAACTCATCACTTAGCACCGATGCGATTGATTTCATCGATAAATAAATTATCGGTTACAATTATCGACAATGCAATAACTATTAAATTAATTGATATCTTAATTGTCGACTAAGCTAATCAATAAATATATTTTCGCTTAAATGCATGTATAAAAATTATCGCTTATACACAACGATAAATAGTTAACGATTAAGCCCATCACCAAAAATTAGTATGTAAACTTTACATTAAATTGGCTAATAATAATAAGTAATCCGCGAAATGTATCTACGAAATGTATCGATTAACATGCATTCAATACAACATTTTATTTCTGCTTTACTTTCCTAGATTTACTACAGACATGACTACCCGATATATAATTTTACTTATCGATAAAACATTATTAGTCCCCATATAATTTTTACAAGCACAATCTGCTTCATACAAAGCTGCCCAATCAACAACTATTTTTATTAAAACTGACACACAAAACTAATATAAAATGTGCTGTTTTCCTATCGTTTTAGTAGATATCTAACGGGGACTACACCTGAACCCAAATAAGACATAAAGTATTCAAATCCCTAAAGGTAGGACAAAATCTCAACAAAATGTACTTTTATCGGATAGTTTAAAAAACACAATATCCCTTTGCTGCTAGCAATAGATCCCTACCTGATAAGTAAACTCATTGAAGGACATCGTTTAGCACTCCAGCAGTGCGTATACGTAATATGCACATGTCAAACAGCTTGTTAAAACAATGGCAAGAATAGCAGCAGCAGCCGCAGCTGCAGCTACAGCTAAAGCCATCGATAAATCTGCTATAAATCTTGAGGCATTGCGACAATTTTCCCATGCGTGTGTGTGTTGGGGTGTGTGTTGTGTGTGGCAATCGCAGGCAACTCTTATCCTCTCAACCTGTCGGCAGGCTAGCAAAATATTACACGAAAGTATTGCTCAATCGCATGATAACGACACCACCCACCGCCCCACACCTAACACTCTGCAGTCACTCGAGCATTCGTTGCCGTGTGTTTGCTTTTTATTACGATATAATATTTTATTGTACACTTTTAGACGTTTGAATATTTGCCTGAGCACCCGCACGCAGTCCGAAATTGGAGCGGCAAAGGACACGGCCGGATCTACCTTTGGAATTACCCTTTTTTTCTTTTTCTTTTTTTTTCCAACAACAAAATGTGTAAATTTGTTGGGGGAGGATTCAGCTATTTGTGCATTTGACAAAGGTAATAAAAAGGACGTTTGGCTTTTGGCGCCGACTGCTTGTTGATGTTTGCCCAGCTTCTGGCTACGAAATATTTTACATTTGTCCCACTCAACTTATTTTCCTTTTCCATTTTGCTTTCCTTTTTTTTTTGGTCTAGTCGTTAAGGCTTTAAATAAACCTTTTATAGTTTTAAGCAGGCGAAGCAACATTATTTGTTTGCCTCTCATTTAGTGAAATACACAAGTATATATTTAATTATTAAAATGACATTGCTAATTTCATTCGAATAAAACTGGTATGAATAAATATTATATGGTACTCACATATATCTTATTAATCCTTCCAGAATTTTTGTGAATTCATCATTATGTTTCATGTACAGTTCCAATACTCACAAGGTGAATGGATGTTTTGCTGCCCTTTTAAGTCTAGCAAAGCGGTTCCTTCAGTTTCAGACTTAAATGCAGAATTGGCCAGAATTTCTGCACGCTGTGCGCCTTTTTCAGGTGCCAAGCGTGCACAACCTGGTGAGACAGTCCTGATTCCGCAACTCGACTTTTTTCCTTTTTTTTGTAGGTGGTAATGACTGCGTCTTAGATCATAACACTCCTCACGTCCACAAAGTCACGCGCAGCTGGATGATATAAATAGTCGCCGAGCATGTCCTTGGTCCTGATGCAATGTTCTGGTCAAATGACTCGCGCGACATGACCGCTGCCTTCCCAACGGCCAGGCTGTGGCAAGGAGATCGGAAAATAAGAGGCTCGCCATTCTTTTAAGCAAATAACCTTAAATCGAGCCGTTTCACGTGCTTAAGCAGTTTCTATCGATCGAAAAATAGAGATGGATACACACGTCCACTAATCGCGGAAATATCGATAAATATCGAACACACATCGATAACAGTCGCAATATACATCCAACTCGCTTGGCAAACGAAGCGATGAGTATTCATTCAGACTAATCGATAGCAATTACAGGAGCAGCAACATTTCGTCTAAAAGGACCAATAAGGAATCTTTAGATTAGGCAAAAGTCAAAATGGAAACTATCAATTTGTAGCCGCAACTTAATTAGCTGATTGCTTACTGACTGCCAAAAAACAAAGCGTCAACTCCCCCATTCAATGAATTATTCAATAGAAGAGTAAATGCATGGTCAAGAGCAAAATAAAAAAAGGAATAAATGTTCGTGTAGCAATTGTTTCTGATGTCTTTGCCGATACTGATGCGAGCTTTTGTGACCGCCGCAAGAAGCAGAGCAGAGCGGAGCAAGCACTGCAACAAGTTGAAGTTATCTTGATTGCAATTAGTAGCCTTCTCATACATTGTCGTTGCGTTAATGAAAAGAAAACAAAGGAGTTTTCTCGTCTTTATGGCATGGCAACATTCAACGTTGTTATTGTGTGCGGCAGCTGTTGTTGCACTTCATGCAAGTCGTTTGCTGTTGTCATCTTCTTTTTTTCTTGTTCTTGATAAGTCCTTGTAACTCGGGTAATCAGTTTTTAAAACAGAAAACTCACTAAGCTGTATGCTCAAGTGAAGCTCATTTAAGTACAACTGATTATGCTGTAATCGCACGGGTTTCTTATGAAAAATCAGTCTTACTTTTTATTTTAATTTCAAATTGTTGTGCCACCTTTTTTGCATAACCTACATCCAATATCCAACATTTCATTCATGTTTCATACAATTTTAGTTATGTCTGCATGTTCTCCCACAAGCAACAACACATTTAACATATTTAACATTTGGTGATATTTCAATTCGTCTAGACTTACTTGTATTTTATTGTAATGGACTCGCAGAATGTAAAGTATATAAGTATTAGATATAGTAGAATCAAGGGTAGATAAATCGAACTAATATGTGGAATACTTATTGGTACCCCAAAGCGCTTAACAGCCTTGTTAGCTGCTTGGTTAGCTTGATTAAAAGTTAACATGAATATTTACAACGGTAGATATCATTTGCAAGCAACAATCATAAAAAACCGATATATGCATAAGCAACTGTCTTGAAGTACTTTCTAAATTCATTTACCCTCCCCAAGCACAACAAATGCGCACTCAATATCGGGAATTTTATGTGATTTTGATTGCCAGAAGATTCAATTGTCATTGCCACTTGTTGGCATTCCCCAAGCTTAGAATCCGCCTTCACAGTCACTTCGAAAAGCAATCGCACTTAGTGAAAAGGGTGGAAAATGCACGCACGACTGCGCGCTCTTGTGTATAGACTCCGCATTCGCACCCGGTTTCTGGACAGCGCATACAGCAGACAAAAAAAAATTGAAATAAAGAAAATCCTGAGCGAAAATTTCCAATTGCGACGTACTCCACCTTCCCCCTAGCGTTGGCGTAAAGTGCCATAATTAAGGGTGCAAAAGAAATCTACTCGATAAAAAATACAACTTGACATTTTACTTTAAATTGGCTTAGCTATCAGTTTAGCAGACAGCACACAACTGGAGGGTGCGAAATTAATTTACGCTTCATATGCAGCTGCCCCTTCTTGTTGTAGCTAACAGAGAAACACGCAGCTGCGAACAATTAATAAATTATTCAGGACTTTTGACAGCTGCTACTGGCAAATGTTCGTGAAATACTGTTCCGTCTCCGGTTCTTGCTGTTGGTCAGTATCTTCTAATAACACGTGTACCTGATTTGCTTACTCGTATAGTCTAAATATTTCTCTCCATCTGTCAGTTTATATACATATAAATCTATTACCTTAATAACTTCCATTTTAAACATAAATATATTCTATAAATAAGGGTCGCCCAAGAAAGTTATTTTAAGCTGAGCCTCTTTATAGTTTACCCCAAATTATATGATGTTTTATAATGGTTATTAAAATCGTATGCTGCTTAATATAGAACTTTTTTTTACTCTTTTTAAATCGAGAAACCCCAATATATTTCGAAAGACTTTGCTTACAAATTATGATGCTATGCAAACCCGCTAATTAGTTGGCCTTTGTAAAGTGTGCCATGTACTTATTGTGTACCGAAACTTTTCCATGTTGGGGAGCTGCCAGGTGCAGCTGACCTTGGAAAATATTTCGTGATGATTTTGTGTGATCAATGCGCAGGCATGCCAGAAATTTTAATGGCTATCAATTTTGAACGATTCATTGAACTTGGGTTATCAATGGCAGGCAGGCGCGTTGCTGCTGGTAATTAAATTTGTCACAGAGTCCAGATGCCAAATTTCATAATGGGAGCGCGCGGGTTGGCAAAATTGGGCGCCTTTTAAGACGTGCGCCTAAAAGCAGGCAACAACTTACAATTCAAACCGAAAATGCGCTGAAAGAACGCCAAAAAAGTTTCAACAACGCGTCGGCTCTCTTAACCTGGCTCTCTTAACCGGGCTCTCTTAAGCGGCAAAAGCTGCCTCCTGTTTGGTTGCCAACGAAAAGCTCTTGGCGCCCATTTGCTATAAATGTGTTTGTGGAGAGCTTTTAGCCGATTTTGTTGTTGCCCGTTTGGCTGGCGCCGTTAATGATGCGTTAAATTTAAATGGCCATAACAATTAATGATAATTGCCTTTGAAGTTATTGTTAATAATATGTTTGTGCCTTGCAACAACAAAACAAAAGTCCGTCATCTTTATTTGTCCGCTCCCAAAGTCGATTCTCGCTTGTTTGCCATAATCAAGCGGAAGTCTCGATGCTAAGCCAAAGCATTTTAAATGTGATTATTTTTTAAGTACTGTGCTTTCAGCGTGCTCTTTAGCGGAGTCTTACCTTAAATAAAATAAAATAAGGCACGGGTTTAAACGCAGCTCAGCTTAGGATTATAGTGCTAGAGTTTTTCTTCTGTTCTTTGTGAAATATTCTTTGTTATATTTGCCTGGACAGGCAGTTATCATGACAATGAAATGAAAAGGGCGGAAAATGCAAAATATTTTAAGCACTTTAATAGTTCATTCCAGACTTGTTAATAACTATCATTGAGATGGGCAAATATTGTTTTAGAGCTAAGAACTCTCTCTTCAATCCCTTTCTTATATTATTTCTTCCTTTTAATTAGCTTCTTATGACTTTTTCATGGGAATGTGTTCTTTGTAACTTAATTTATTTTCTTTAATGGAAACCTTTGTAAATAATATTTTTAATAGTCTGATTTGCTATTGAGTTAAGTGTTGAAAACAATAATATTATATAATAACAATAATATACATACATATATATGTTTAGTTTCAAACCGTCCTGTTCTTCTACAAAAACCCCTATCATTCAATTTCATTTTTCTCCAACGACCTATTCAAATGGGCAGTAATTGCAGCTCCTCTTTTGTGCACTTTTTGGCTGATTAAATAAATTTCAGGCTGAAGAGCAGCCCCTTGTTGCATGAAAAACTGCACTTGCCGCTTCTTGACCTTTGAATCAAATATAATCGAAACTGTGCTGAGCAGCTCTCTCAATAACCATTCGCTATGCACTTCAATAAAACGAAAATCAACGTGCAACGTGGTGGCAAGTTGAATGCCAACGGCACACGAAGGGCAGCTCCCTATGAGTGCACTTGTTGCCATTCGAAAATTGATTTCAATTTTTCGCAAAAGGCAAAACTTTCGAATGGCGCTGCCAACAGGTAAGAAAAGCAAATAACTCACTGTAAATTTATTTATATAAGTTCTTAGAATTTGGATTACGCAAAACAATGCAACAAACAAGTCCTTTAAATACAAGTGCCGGCCAGCAGGAAGCAGCAAGAAAACTTAATTGAATTAGTGTGCCCTTTGCTCGGCTGGCGCACGCTGCGTATGGGTAACACTATAAATAATTGGAATACACATGCAAATCCACATGTAGTCGAGCCACGTCTAGCCTCGTCTGGTCATGTCTGGCAACAAGCAACCTCTCTCCAACCCAAAACCAGCATCAAAAATTAGATTATGCTTTCGATGTGTCCCCAAACAAACCCAATATATATTGCAAGAGACGGCATCCACAATCCGCCCTAATGTATCCAGCTATAATATATACATATGGCCGCTCTCACTTTGTTTGTTTGGGCATCGTGTTCCATGGACCAAAGATATTCATTATAATGCATTTTAATCTCTGGTCCCCTGTGTCCAAAACACTGTCAACACTTTAGAACCAGACGAATACAATAATTTATCTCGCTCGTTTTGCTACCACTGTACCCCATTAATGCGCACTTCCAAGCAAACTTATATATGGTGTATATATGGCTATTTGTATGTACATTGAGTCTCGTTTCCAATAAGATAATCGACGCAAGACAAGGCCCGATTTTAGATTGCGTTCCCATCGATGACGTGTTAATCGTGCTGGAGCTTTCTTTGGCCCGCTGTGTGCTGGAAGTAGCCCATGCTTGCGTTTTCGCCATGTAAGTGGTGGTTGGGAATGGGATTGGGGCAGAGGGCTGGTGCGGGTGCAAGGCCAAGCGAATGGGTTACGCCCGTGCAAAAGTACCAGTAGGCAGCAACGTATGTGCGAGTAATATAATAAAAGGCTAAATAATATATGCAACATATAAAAAAAAAACACATTTGTATGAGTATCATTGCCAAGCAGGGTTGCCAGACCCTTAGAAACGAGCTAATGAAAGGAATATTATCTACATTTTTAGTTTTTTTTTTTCTTAAGCATGTAGTTCTAGTATCCATTATTTTACACATTCGCTTGAAATATATAATTATTAAAATATCCTCAATGATTTGCTAGTTAATATCTCACTCTGAGATTTTATTAATTAATTATCTCATTAATAAACTTATCTCAGTTATATAATAATTGTTACTGGCTGACAACCCCATGGCCAATTTTCGTTATATCATTCACCATCCCCTGTATTTTCTTAATTCATTACTTTTTTTCTGTTGCCATCTTCTTCCGTTGTCTTCTTCTTCTGCAATTTGATATAAAACAATGCATTTTATCTCGGCACGGCAATGAGACTCTTACACATTTTATTTTTCACTCTGCTTTTATTCATCTTTGACATAAACCCACACACAGACACTGAGACGCTTACACACAAAACGGCCTGGGTTTTTAGGGCGGACCAAATAAAGCAGCAGATTATTAAAGTAATAAGAGTACGTCCCTTTTATGCAAAACCATTATAAATTATAAGCATTTGTAAGCACTCAAACAGTTTTAACAAAAATATGACAATGATTTTTCAACATACTCATCGAGTATTTATAAATATTTGTTAGTATTTTTTA